TTTATTAGCATAACTACTAATTGATTGAGTCATTAGTCTGACTCGTGGTCAAATAGGCTTTTCCCTTCCTCTTTTGTTTTTATTTTTTTTTCTTTTTTTTTCTCTTCCTCTTCTATTCTCTAATTAGGCCTTTCCTTTTCTTTTCTTTTTTTCTTCTTTTCTTTTTCATCTTCGTTTCTTTTCATCTCTAGTTGAGTTAGGTCTATTCAATGAGGCCTTATTATGCTCTTATTCTTTCTCTTTCTTTTTTTTTTCCCTCTTTCTCCTCTTCTTTTTCCTTAAGTCTAGTTATGCTACTTGATTTTTCTCGTGCCAATTACCTTTTAAAGCTTCTTATCAACTTGAAGTTTTTTCCATTTTAAAAATGAAAACATTGATGATTTATCAAGTAATATTGCTATAATAATGACAAAATATATAAAAACATGTAATGGGGACATGAAGAAAATATTTTTTATAAGGCGAAGTGGTGGAGACAATTTAATCGCTATGTAATTCTAACTCATTTTGTAGTATTACTTGTAAGTTTATATACTAATTATATGTTATATTACCAAATGATGAAGTTATGAAAACTATAAATTAACTTTCCATAGCTACATTCTAGGTTAGTAATTGGTTTTTTTTTTCCTTGTAAAATAAGTCCCCTATCAGAATAGAAGATTTTCTGATACTTAGGTCAGTAAATGTAGGAGGAGGGTTATATGTGTGAAGAGAGATCGTGTGAACATGATTTTGTGTCTAATTAAGTTTATATATAGATTTTGGTCTAGTATTTATCTCTTTTTAATTTATATGTGACCTAAAAGGTATTTATAGACCTGGTTATGTTGACATACCATATAGAGAAAAGATTTTATGCTATTGGTGGAGAAGTTTATGTTTATTATTGTTATGGTGTCTTATTTTATTGATGGAGTTATTGGTATTAAATAATTTGAAAGAGATAATTATTAGTTAGATAGGGTGGTAGGCCATAGAGTTAGTGTAGTAGTCAGGTCGAGGGGTGACCATTGGTGAAAATAGTGTTGTGGTAGGCATAATAAGTGGTGCATTTTGGCTCTATGAAACTAGATATATTTAAGATGTGTACCTAAAAAAGTAAGTGTGTAAAAGAAAAAGTGTAAGAAGAAAAATATAAGAGAGAAAAGGATCTAGCCATTTGGCTAACATGTTTATTGTATGCACTAGGCAAATGGGTCACTCACTACCTTTAAATAACGCATATAGCCCACTACAGCTCTATTAGTGACCTTTTTTTTATACTTATAAATTCATATCATTGAGATCCTTTTTTATGATACCAGGGGTCTTATTATTAAAGCTTCAAAATGTCTTTATTGTCCTTTCTTTATGTCTTTCTTGTTCTTTTTTTTATCTCTCTTGCACTTAGAATTTAATGGCTACCTATTTCTCATATTCTTTCTTCCACCATTTGATCTTTCTATTTTTTTTTCTTTTAAGTTTTTAGATCTAATGACTTTTGTGATTTGATAATGTTATATTATGCATTCTGAGGAGGGAAAGTGCATTTATATGTCCAAATCAACTCTTGCATGTATGCTATTTAATTATTATTATTTTGAAAGTTTTTAGTCATTTGGGCTCAGCCCAAAAAAATACGATGTTAAGCCATTTTAGACCTAGTCCAAATTTCTCATTTTTAATTTTTTTTGCTCAATCACAATCACCATTATTATCACTAAATATATAGTTGTCCCTACATTAAAGGCATTGCTCAGCTCATAAGATAAAAAAAAATTTTCTTATATTTTAAGAATTTTTATTTTCCTACACGTAAGAATAGAGACATAAATTAAATATACTATGAAGGATTGAAATGAAGAAACAACATTGAAGTCAAAATCATTCATCACAAAAGATGCATACTGAAGTCAGATCCGGTGAAACCAAATATGGAGAGCTTTTGCTTTTTATTTATAAAAGAAAATGGATGGAGAAATATGTTACCAACACATAAAAAACCTAAATATACTTATATATACTTATATTTAATTATATTTTATAAATAATTGATGTTTTAAAATAAGTTTTTAGTTTGATTTACTTCCAATTATTTATATTTAAAGAAAAATGAGAAAGAAAAAAGAAAAAATAATATAAATTTAATATTTATATGAACTTACATATTGACATTATAAGTATCAACTCGGACCATCTTCCATCTTCAATCCAATCTTGAAAAAAAAAATGAGATAGAAAGATATACAATCTGTTACATTGTCATCCCTAAAAAAGAGTAACCTTTTTTAATTAATCTATAGTAAAAATTAACCCAATTTTTTTATTCGATGTACATAGGCTTTTCATTTTCTGCGGAGCAATTTGTAGTCGTTAATCTATAAATACCAATTGTTTAATATTCTAAATTGGTTATTTAATTAAAAAATGATGAAGAATTGCAAACATATTATACTATTCTTTAAAATATATGAAAAAAAAAATCATTATGTTGGTATTGTGTACACAAAGTGCTTGCATTATGGACCACACTGTTGACATAGAATATTTGCACTGTAAATCACACTATAGATGTTCAAAGAAGCATGAAAGTGTTTTTTTTATTTTGAAAGCCACTAGGACGTGTTAAGTCAAGGCATGATCACTTGATCTAAGTCTCATGGGTTTGACATGACTACCAAAACCAAGACTCTTGGGTTAAGTGTCAATGCCAGACCCAAGAGTCGTCAATCTCAAGGCTTCTTAGGTCTGGAACAGCCGCCAGACCTAAGGCTGTTGGGTCTGGCTGCCAAGCTGAACCTAATATCATGGGTCTGGTAAGCATGATTGCCATCATAATTATTAGACCCGGTTGGCCCGGCTAGTCAAATTAGGACCCGGGTGACCCAATGGCCTTGACTGGGTCTATTTCATTTAAAAATTGGTCTTATAACTGGCCTGACATAAACTGGTCGACTTAACCAAGAACTTGAGTGACCTAGCAAAACCTTTTTTTTTTTTCAAATGTGTTTTTTCTCCTACCTAGAGATTTTTTTTTTTTCATATTCTTCAGTTGATTACTAACTCATTTTAAAATTTACTATATAAATACTAGAAGAATGTTTTATTTTTTTAATATTAGATTTGAAGCCCTTTAGTATATATACTCTATATTTACAAGAAAAAAGTTATGTTTTTTCAATATAGGATAATAATTTTTTTTTATTTAAATACTTCAACTTAAAATAATAAGATAATATCTTTTCATTGTAGGATAAAAAAAAACTATTGAAATAATATTTTAAACTTAATTATTTACAACATGTATATCTTATATTCACATGGATTATTTTTTAATTTTTTTATATAAAATTTTAAAACCTCAAATATATTTTTTTAATTTTTTCGAGTTGACCCAAGTTAACTCGTGTAACCTGAGACTGGACCAAGGATAAACTCAGGGCTGTTGGTTTTGGTATGGCCACTAGACCTAATACTATTGGCTCTGGCTTGACTGTTAAAGCCAACGCTATTGGGTCTGGCTTGAACGCCACACCTAAGTGTTTTACGTCTAGCATGATCACCAGACCCAATACCATGGATCTCGCATTCAACCAGACCCAATACCTTAAGTCGGGCTAGCGTTCCGAACCCAATATCTTAGGTCTGGCAGGTAAACCGGAGCTAAGGCATACAAGACCCAATATCACGAGTCTGGTATGGATGCTATCATAATTATCCGGCTCCACCCGACCTAGTGGGTCAACCTAAGACCCGAGTGACCCGGAGCCTTAACCAGATCTATTTCATTTAAAATCCAAGCTTGCAATTGGCACAGAGTAAACTGGTAGACCTGTCGGGTCAACCTGGAACTTGAGTGACCCCATAAAACTCAATAGAGACCATTTTTTTTTAAATGTGTTTTTTCTCCTACCTAGAGACCCCTCTTTTTCCATATGTTTTAGTTTGTTACTAACACATTTAAAAGTTTACTATATAAATACTAAAATAATATTTTATTTTTTTCAAGGTAAGATTTAAAGCCCTTTAATGTGTATATTTTATGTTCACAAGAAAAAAAAGTTATGTTTTTTCAATATAAGATAAAAAATAACCTTTTTAGTTTAAATACTTCAACTTAAAAAAAATATGATTATATCTTTCTAATATAAGATAAAAAAACCTTTTGAAATAATATTTTAAATTTAATTATTTATAATATATATAATTTATATTTACATGAATTGTTTCTTAATTTTTTCATATAAAATATTAAAATCTTAAATATTTTTTTCAATTTCTCCGGGTTAACTCGATTCAACCCATATAACTCAGGACCCAATCCCTTGGGCAGGTCAACCCTCATGCTGGGTTTGATAACTATAGTTGCTATGAAAATATCACTTTAAAAAATACAATTGAAAAGAAATAAAGTAACGTGACTAGTTAAAAAACTAAAAAAAATAAATAGACAAAATCTCCTTTGTTTTATTTTATTCAAGAGCCTCTTTTAAAAAATATTAATTTTTTTATTTTTTATTTAATTTTTTAAATATTTTTTCTCTTAATCTATTAATTTGTTTTTATTTTTTATATAAATAAATTATGTTTTGAAAATAAAAAATATTTATTTTTAGATGATATTTTTAGCGTATATAGCTTTACATATTATTCATTTTTTTATTTTTTTTAATATTCAATATCACAACTTATACTTGTTTCTTAATTTTTTATATTTTGTTTTTAGATATTTTATTTTATTAATTAATGCATATAACTTTTAATTTATTTGATTACACATTTGTATAAACTTTTTAATTTATTACATTTTTTAAACTACCTTTCAAACTATCAAAATGTATCAAAAAACTATGTATAAATAATTTTTTTTATTTTTAAAACTACCAAAATACATTAAAAAAACCCCTGTATAAATAATTTTTTATAAAAAAAATAAAAATATTAAACTTGCAACGAAACACAAATCTCATATCATATAATTAGTTAGTGATGGTATGAATGCTATGAGACACCACCTCTTTAGTTTTTATCAGTTTGTACCTGTTACGTGGCATGTGCAATCCACTGCGCTGGGTGAATAAAAAATGATCGATCACTATAAGGTCCGTGCAAATGCAGCCTAGGAATAACAACAGAAGGACCCAACCCTAATTCTTATGCGAATAGGCCTGAAAACAAATTAAACTTCTACCGTATAAACAAATTCCATAACAATTGTAAATAAACGCATTTAATGTAAGTGTCACGAATCCAATCAAGCGGAAGAAATGTCCACCAGCAACCCAGTTAGAATTTCTGGATGACAACAGAGCTAGCTATGCCAGCCTCCTCAATAGTCTGATCCGGATCAGTGAGCTGTTTTGGAGGGAATCCCATCGTCTGCAGTTGATAATTGCTTGCCCCACCTGGCCTTGATGCCTCAATGAAGGCACGTATGTCTCTGATAGTATGGTTTAAGTTGAAGCGAGAAACCATGCGCGTGCCATCAGCTAACCTGAGCTGAATTGAGGTTGTTGGTGAAGAAGAATCTAGCACTAGACCTGGGGTTGGGACTGGGGCAGCCTTGAGAGAAGCAACGGTTGGCTCAGAGGCAGCAGGGACAGTGGCGTCACTGCTGCTACCTAAAGCTCTTCCCACACCTTGGAATGAAACTAGAGGCTTCTCTGGTTCCTGCATAAACATAGGAGGAGGGTACAGTGATGAAAAAATAAATGCAGAAAATAAATTTTTATTAGGAAAAATAAAGTGGAAAAAGAAGAACTCACAGAGTAGTTTTCCTCTCGCCGCATGAGATCAAGATGCACTTGAGTCCCCCTATCCAATGGTTCAAGTTCTTTTGGACACTCAGATCGCTTGATGCTCTGCACAAGATACATTTAATAAACACGGTTTGCCATTAGAGGTTAAACACTAAATGAATAGCAAGTCCTTCCATTATAGAAGCATGAACTTTACGCATCATCCAATGGAAGTTAGATAAAGCAGAATTTACTTCGAAATTAAATTCTACTGTTCAACAGAATAAATATCGCTGAACCCACACATGTGAATTTGACCATAAAGCACTACCATCACCGAAGAAGTAATAAAAATACTTGCAGGTAGAGAAACTTAAACCAAATAACTTGATCTACTGCTTTATATAATAATAAAAAAAAGTACAATTTTGATCATCTGACAGAGCTTGCAAATCCAACTAGCACTCCAATAATATATTACTGTGCTTCAGCACCAGTTGCAATGACATTTTACCTTGTTAAATTTACTAGCATTCCTTCAAACCTCATGTATCAGTATCAGCTAGACACCATCTAGAATCATTCATTTCATGAACACCTTAACGATTTAAAAGAAAGTTAGCATGGTTAAAAAAATCACCTCCAAAAAGGAGGCATTAGCGGGATCATCAAACCTCCTTAAAGGACCATCATCCACCGTGAACCCGTTCCTCCATAGAGTAACAGCATGATTGACAGCTGCAGGTGGTTGAGGAGCAGATGATACCATTGTATCCCCTGAAAGCAACCTCCCCGTTCCAGGGAAGCTTCTCGAGCTCGAAGACGGCCGATGGTAATCAGCAGGTCTTTCTACAGCACCTGAATGTCGAGCTTGATCAAAAATTCCATCCACATCATAACGTTTGCTAGGGTCTTGAACCAGCATTCCACTGAAAACCAGAAAATTTAGAACCGGTTAACATTTTTTTCAACAACAATAATAATAAATCATGGTTGATTAACACAATAGCTGAACTAACCCTAACCCTAACCCTAATTCAACAATTCAGCTTAATTAATTATAATTGGCTTTCAAAATCTTAGGGTTAAATCAAAATTTAAAAATAAATAAATTGAAGTCACCTCTTTTCACCACCAGTATAATACTGCTGCGGCTCGTCATCGTCATCGTCATCACTATCGGACCCAGCATTAGGGGTCCGATTAAGATCAGCAAGCGTTCGGACTCCGCCACGTGTCTGATTGGCGCTGGGCTTCTTACCCCTCGATCTTAGCCGGTAGGGAGCTCGAGACGGGATCGGAGAAGGAGAGCGAGACCGAGACGGAGATTGGGAGGGAGAGTAATTGGGGGAGTGAGACTGCGGAGGGGACGGGGAAGGAGAGGGAGAGGCAGAGTTAACTGGGTGAGAAGGAAGAGGAGGGATTGCAGTTACGAGGGGCGGGGCGGAGTCGTTGTCGAGGAAGGTAGAGACAGCCGAGTCTAGATCCCATTGGTGACTTTCTAAGAAAAATAGGGCTTCTTGTTTGGAAGAAGAGGTGATCTCGCAGAAAGCATCGACCAAGGCGGTGTTGTTGGTGTCGTTGAGATCGAAATTTGGTGGCTGAGGTGGTGGTGGTGCTGCTGCTCTCGTGTTGTCTTCCATGGATTTACGATAACGGGACTTTCTCTGTGTTTTTTGGGATTAGCGAATGGGTATCGAGACTAAATAGGGACTCGCCGACACTATCTAGCCTCTACCTTTCCTCTTGAGCAAGAAATGTCCATGGGGAAGACAACGGTGCCCAACATCCACGAGCCCTTGAAAAAAGAGATAGCCCTCTGAAATAAAAATATCCCAATTCTTTGCCCATTTACTAATTTCATTTTCAAATTTGCTCCTTTTTTACTGTGTATTATGTTCATCGTTTCGGCTGTGTTTACTGTAAAATATAATTGATAAGTGTTTGGTTATATGGTAACCATACTCTTATTATTGTAGATTCAATCCGAAATTGAGGCTGGAATTTAGTTTTTTTTTTTTTAAGTAATTTAAATTTGCAGTTCAAGAGTTTTTTTCTCTCTTCTTTACTGTATTACCTGGTCGTTATCGTTTTGCTTCAATTAAAAAACTTTCTAGAACCGCCGTATTGGGTAGCCACCTTTCTTTTGCTGCATGGAAACTTTCTTCAATGTTCTACAAATTAAACAGTAAACACTGAATTAATTTACTCTTCATTATTATATAAACAGGAGCAGTGAAGAGTGATTAATTCAATTTATACTATTCATATGGATAGTAGAGAATATCTTCATTATTTATAGTTAGATTAAGTCCGGTCCAAATTAAAATTATTGGAATAGATTTAATCCAATAAAATAAAAAAAATAAAAATAAAAATAAAATTTTAAAAATTTTAAATTAATTTAAAAAAAAAATAAAAAAATATTGTGTTTTCATGCATACTGATAAATTTTAAAATATTTTTAATCATACATACTCATCACTATATAATATGATAAAATGTTTTTTTTTCTACTATACATAAAGATCTCTTAGTGGCTTGGTTCTTGAATATGAAAATAGAGGTGGAGGATTTTACAAACTTCAATTTATTTTGTTTTTTATGTTAAATCTTCACTCAAATCTCTTTAACACTACCAATGATTGATTTGCATATATTTCTCTCACTATGTTCTTTGAGAAAAAATGTTAAAAAGAAGAAAAGTCAAAATGTGTATTTTGATAGTCATTTTGATAGTCTTACATGAGAAGGAAAACTAGGCAACAATGGCTAAAAATAAAAGATAGTATAATATAGAAAGGTTTTACATACAAAAAGGTTAAGGGTTGTTTGCTAGTTTATGTGTTTAACTTAGGGTTATATATTTTATATCAATGAATGAACATGTTTTGAATAGGTACAAAATTTGAACTTCTCATGTTGTGCAATGTAAATTTCCTTTAATTAAGTTAAATATATGAATTGAAATAAAATTTTTATGATAAACTCATTAGCTATCATAACTTTGACCTCGTTAATGCAGGGGAGGTGGTAAGAGTGGCTAAGCATCTACAGGTTTTTCGAAAAAAAAAAAAAAGACTAACACATCATGCCACTTTTAGAATGTTATAAAATTATGTGACTAAAAATTCTTTAAATGAACATATATATATAAAAATATGAAAATACAAGTAAAATTGTCATAAAAATTATATTAACATCTTCGTATAGATGGTGGAGATCATTGATAACTCATAATTAACCAAGTTTACATGTTATTCTTATAGATATCAGGCCTAGATAAGTTAATTGTTATAAGGAAGATTGTATTCTATTTAGAATGAAGTTTAATGATAGAATTTTGAAGTATTGTTTAATCTTTAATATTTGTAATTATGATGTGTATTTATGAAGATGGATGTTCATTTCAGGATTTTCACAAACTCAACGGGAGTAGTAGTCCTGTTTATTTATTTTAATCTTTACATGTAATTAATGAATATGTAAGTATAAATTGAAATTACCTATTATGTCATGTAATCAAATTGATAGTATTTTTTCATGTAATTGAATTCAGTACAATATACTTAATTGATAATTTTTAATTGCATTATGAGAATATTATGTTTAAATATTGTATCCATATGGGTATGAGTTAAATGTAATGTTTGAAAATGATATGATTTATTGAAAAAAAGATGATAATTTGTGTGATAGGAGTAGCCTTAAGGCTATTGATTAGTAATTAAAAATGTATTCTCATTAAGGTCATATTGCATTTAAAGTATCATTAAATTCTCTAACTTAAACATGTTTTATAATAATAAGTCTGATAATATAAGATAGCTTTAATTTATAGTAAATGCTCATTTTAAATACAAAAATATCTAATAATTAAAAGGATTGATTGATATAATTAACTATTAAATGTGCAAAGACAAAGAAAAGGCTAAGCTTAGAAAAGAGATATTAATTCAATTCAAACTAGAATACTATTTAGTCATTGGGTCATATCTGTAGCTGTAGTTATTAGATTTCAGTTTGATTTATATAGATATAAAGCTAAGACATAGGCATAAGACATTTATACGAGTTTAAGACTCAATTCTACCGTTTGGAAGTCTAAATCTTAGTGTTAAAAAAGAAGTCTGAATCTGTCCTACAACCTAAATACTATTCAGTGTTTGGCTCATATCTCAAGTTTTAGAAGTTCAAATATACCGATTCTTTTTTTGTTGGAAAGTTAAGATAATTTTCCAGAACTTTTATGAAGACTATATGTTCATATTTTGATGTCATCAATGACGTTTTTGATAGACAAGAAGATAAGGATTGTTACTAGGTTTAGAGGTGGCCACCCTCTCAATAATTAGTCATCAAATCAATAGTTCTAAATTTTAATATATAAAAAAAAGGCATTTGTCATGTATTTAGGTATCTTGGTTTTCAGATCAAGATCATGTTCTTGCTCTTTTTCTTTATATTTTTGTAATGCTTAAGTTTTGCTTTCATTAATTTTTTGTTTATGCTTTTCATTTCATTTACTATACTCATATAATCATGTTTCATTGAAAAGTAGGAAACAATCAATACTCAACTTGCTCAAAGCATGACAGATTTTAAAGATAATTTTGCAAAACTTACATCTGTTCTAGACTTATATATCATGTTTCATTGAAAAGCAGGAAATAATTAACACTCAACTTGTTCAAAGTATGACAAATTTTAAAGATACTTTTGTAAAACTCACATATACTCTTAATTTTCAAGAGAAAGGCAAGTTTCCATCTTAACCACAGCAAAATCCTAAGAGGTAATACAATGCAAATGCAAGTAGTTCTAGAAGCCAACATATAAATCAAGTCAAATAAATCATTACTCTACGTAGTGGTAAGGTTATTAAAAAACCTACTCTTAAACCTTATGAGAAATATGATAAGTGAATCTCTGAAGGTAAAGAAGGGGTTGAATCTAAACATTGTAAAGAAAAGACTAATTCCCTACCGACACTTTTATTTCCTCACGCCATGACCAAACAAAGAAAAGTCAATTACAACTTTGAAATCTTTGAAACTTTTAAACAGGTAAGGATTAATATACATTTGCTAGATGCTGTTAAACAAGTACTTTCCTATGCTAAATTTTTGAAAAATCTGTGCACTATGAAGAGAAAACTGAATGTGAAAAAAAAACATTTTTAGCTGAATAAGTAAGTATCATGCTTCAAAATAATAATGCTTTGAAATATAAAGACCCTAGTTGTCTTATAATTTCTTACTTTATTGGAGAACATAAAATTGAAAAAGCTTTACTTGGTTTTGAAGCTAGTATGAATTTACTTTCATATTTAGTTTTTCAAAGTCTCAATCTAAGTGAGCTAAAACCAACTTCTGTAATTATTTTACTTACTAATAGATCTGTAAAAGAGTCTAAAGAAATAGTTGAGGATGTGTTAGTACAAGTTGATAAATTCATTTATCCTATGGGTTTTATTAACTTGGACACATAATCTGTTGAAGTATGTAATTCATTTCTTGTTATTTTAGGGCATCTATTTCTCGTAACTTTTAATGCATTAAATAATTATAGGAATGAATTGATAAAGCTATCATTTGAAAACATGACCTCAAAGATGAATATTTTTAACATTTACAAGCAACCTAGAGATGATAATGATTTACAAGAAGTAGATCTTATTGAAAAATTAGTTTATTATCAACTTAAATATATTTTGAGTAAAATTAAGTTTGATGAATTTGAAGATTTGCAAATGATTTATTCTCAGGAAGAAATCACGAATAAGAAAGCATAAAAAATGTTAATGCGGATGTTTTGTCAAATTTGACAATATATTCGACATCCAACATTACACCAATTGATGGTTATTTTCCTAACAAATACTTACTTTCTCTTAGATCAATGCCTTGGTCTGCTAATTTTATCAATTTTGTTGCTTTAGGATATTTGCCAACTCATTGGAGTACCTAAGATAAAAAGAAAGTTCTTAAACGAAGTGAAGAACTTTTATTGGGATGACCCTTACTTATTTAAATATTGTCCTGAATAAATGTTTTAAAGATGCATTTCTGACAATGAGAAAATTAAGATTAAGATGGAGCAGTCCTTTTATAAACATGTGTGTATATATGGGGCTTATGATTTTAAAAATCCAAAGAATGATAATGTTTTCAAGTCTTTCTCTAACCTTAGTCAAATGGCGGATAATGGTACTTCCTGACTTTTAAGTTGGTTTTTTTAGATTCCCATAATAACTGATATTTGTGTATATATTTATTCAATTTCTTGTTCTGTCTCTTTTCTTGGTATCTCTTTTCCACTTCTTATTTAAAAAATGGACACCACTCTTGAAAAATTGAAAAAGTATTTTTCTTGTTTTGCCTCAAAATACGATTACAAAAATTTACAGAGCTAGGTATGCAAGATTGAGGTTGTTAATGAACCATGGAATTCTTGAAGAGATTCACTGGCTAATTAAAGCAAAGGTCCAATTATCAGGTATGTTTTCTAATTCATTTATTTCATATATTTCTGGGATAGATAAAATCACTTTTGTAAAGAAACATTATGCGAAATGATTGAAAATCTATTACTGATGTGCCAGATGGACTTGAAATGCACAATATTGTTCTTTAGGAATGATATCAATAAATTATGAAAATAAAATACAATTAATTAAGGATGGCTTGAGTAAGGAGTATTTCGATAATCTTCTATTAACTCTTGAGACGCATCCTAGGGGAGATGTGAATCGTGTAATTCATGATTTGTGACCCTATTTTCATAAAAAAAAAAATGATTGATTTAGTCTTGAAAATCTAATTAAAAAAGATCTTGTTT